TCAGGGGGTGCCGCTGCACTGCTCTCAGTCCTGGTCCTCTCAGCCCCTCTCCCCTGCAGTCGTCAGCCTCAGCAGGGTGGGATGGGCATGCTCAGCATGTGGATGGCCCTCCTCCAGAGCCCTGCCTACTCGCAGCCCTGCCAGGGCTTCTCCGTTACCCTGTCCACCACGGCCTTTCTCCATGTGGGCCCTGCACTGGAGGGGTGACATGTCCTGCTTGGCACTGCGATGACCAGCGGCTACACTGCACCCAGCGACAGCTACACCCAGGTCAGCTGCAGACCCCGTGAAGTGCTTTATTACCCAGGACAGGGAGGCCAAGGATGAGCTCAGGGACATTCCTTGGGGTTGGGCTGGAGGGGGCTGGCCTGGAGGGGGCCAGATGCTCATGTGGGACAATTTAGAAAAGGAAGCAGAGAAAGGCCAGCTGCTGTGTTTGTGCCGGCCCTGTTGGGAGCAGGTTGGGGACCAGGGGTGTAGGAGAGGTGCCAGATGCCGAAGGATGAGGAAGGAGGGCAGGCAGGGGACAGTGCGGATGTTCTCGGGGCACCGGGAAGCCAGCTCAGGCTGAGGGCAGGGCTGCCAGGGCCAGGCTGACACCACTCTCTGGCTTCCAGGAGACGGCGCTCTCAACCGCAGGGCTGCCATGTTGTCAAGGGGAGTTTGTGCCTTTGGAATCAGATCTGAGTTGTGGGGTCGGGGGCACAGAGCAGGCATCTCCTTCCCAGCCCCACTTCCATGCAGCCAGCATCCCACCTGCCTCCAAATCTATTCTGAGCAAATAGTGTGAAGGGGCTGGGCACCCACCTGGCCTGCCCAGCACACGGGTCTCTGCGTGTGGTTTCAGGGTCTGCACGTGTGTTTGATGCAATTGTGGGAGTGGACAGAGGACACACTCCAGTTTGGTCAGGGACCTCAGGACTCAGAAGTTCCTGTCATCATAATTGGCCCCAGGCACCCAGTAGACAGCCAGTGCTGTCGCGCATGGTTCCTGGTGCTGTTTCCTGGGAAATCAGGAAACTTTAGGACAGTTTCAACTCTGTGTTGATGCCCCTGTTGCTCTAGCATTATAAGTATGTTGCACATACTGTGCGCCACGTACTGGGGCAGCACTTTGCTGTTGTTGTTTTAAATAATTAATTTATTTTTACATACAATATACAAAATAAACCTATTACCAGATTGTAGATACAAAATAATTAGCCATTTACATGCAATAAACTTTAATATTTCAAGAAAAAATATTTTAAATATAATAATATTAACAAAACTGTACTAACAGTATAATTTCACAAAAGTTGTAGGAAATATTAAAAATCTGCCAATAACAGGATTACTTATATTATATTCTAAAATATTTTTTTCTTTGGCTCTATGTTCATCAGTTTATGTTGTACATTATATTCCACATATGCGTGAGATCATGTGATACTTATCTTTCTCCGACTGGCTTATTTCGCTTAGCATGATGCTCTCCAGGTCCTTCCATGCTGTTGCAAATGGTAAGAGTTCTTTCCTTTTTACAGCAGCGTAGTATTCCATTGTGTAGATGTACCACAGTTTTTTAATCCACTCTTCTGCTGATGAGCACTTAGGCTGTTTCCAAATCTTAGCTGTTGTAAATGGTGCTGCTATGAACATAGGGGTGTATGTGTCCTTTCTGATTGGTGTTTCTGATTTCTTGGAATATATTCGTATATGTGGGATTACTGGGTCAAATGGGAGTTCCATTTTTAGTTTTTTGAGGAAACTCCTTACTGTCTTCCATAGTGGCTGCACCAGTCTGCATTCCCAGCAGCAGTGAATGAGGGTTCCTTTTTCTCTGCATCCTCGCCAGCACTGTCATTTGTTGATTTGTTGATGGTAGCCATTCTGACAGGTGTGAGATGGTGCCTCATTGTCATTTTGATTTGCATCTCTCGGATGATTAGTGACTTTGAGCATGTTTTCATGTGTCTCTTGGCTTTCTGAATGTCCTCTTTTGAAAAGTGTCTATTTAGGTCCTTTGCATATTTTTTGATTGGATTGGTTGTCTTCCTTTTGTTAAGTTGTATGAGTTCTCTGTACAAGATGGAGATTAAACCCTTATCTGAGATAACATTGGAAAATATATTCTCCTGTGCAGTGGACTTTCTTGTTGTTTTGTTGATGGTTTCTATTGCTGTGCACAAGCTTTTTATTTTGATGTAGTCCCATTTGCTCATTTTCTCCTTAGTTTCCAATGCCCAAGGAGCTGTGTCTGTAAAAATATTGCTATGATACATGTCTGCTATTTTGCTGCCTATGGAGTCTTGTAGGATTTTTATGGTTTCCCATCTTATGTTTAAGTCCTTTATCCATTTTGAATTTATTTTTGTGTATGGTATAAGTTGGTGGTCTAGTTTCATTTTTTTGCATGTATCCAACCAATTTTCCCAACACCATTTATTGAAGAGACTGTCTTGACTCCATTGTATGGTCTTGCCTCCTTTGTCATTTATTAATTGAGCATAATGGCTTGGGTCAATTTCCGGGGTCTCTGTTCTGTTCCATTGATCAATATGTCTGTTCTTGCGCCAGTACTAGGCAGTTTGGAGAACAGTGGTTTTGTAATACAGCTTGATATCTGGTATTGTGATCCCTCCAACTTTGTTCTCCTTTCTCAGGATTGCTGTGGCTATTTGGGTTATTTTTTTTTTTTTTTATTCCAGATGAATTTTTGGAGAGTTTGTTCTAGATCTGTGAAATATTCCATTGGTATCTTAATGGGGATTCCATTGAATCTATAGATTGCTTTGGGTAGTATGGACATTTTAATGATGTTGATTCTACCAATCCATGAACACAGTATGTTCTTCCATTTGTTTATGTCTTCCTCTATCTCTTTTTTCTATATCCTGTAGTTTTCCAAGAGCAGGTCTTTTACCTTCTTAGTTAAGTTTATTTCTAGGTATCTTAATTTGTTTGTTGCAGTGATAAATGGGATTGTTTTTAGTTTCTTTTTCTGTGAGTTCATTATCCTATATAATAAAAGGCTAATATGTAAATCGATCAAACAGCACAACGACCAGTCGCTATGATGTGCACTGACCACCAGGGGGCAGACGCTCAATGCAGGAGCTATGGCCTGTTGGTCAGTGTGCTCGCACAGGGGGAGTGCCACTCAGCCAGAAGCCGGGCTCATGGCTGGTGAGCACAGCGGGATCCTCTCCTTCCTCCTTGGCAGTGCTAAGGATGTCTGAGGGGGAGTGGGCCTAAGCCATCAGTTGGACATCCCCCTGAGGGTTCCCGGACTGTGAGAGGGCACAGGCCGGGCTGAGGGGCCCCCTGAGTGCATGAATTTTGTGTGCTGGGCCTCTAGTTGGTGTATAAAAAGACCATGGATTTATGGGTGTTAATTTTGTATCCTGCTACATTGCTGAATTCATTTATTAAATCTAATAGTTTTTTGATGGAATCTTTGGGGTTTTTCTATGTACAATATCATGTCATTTGAGAATAATGACAGTTTTATTTCTTCTTTTCCAATTTAGATGCCATCTATTTCTTCTTCTTGACTAATTGCTGTGGTTGGGACTTCCAGTACTATGTTGAATAAGAGCGATGAAAGCAGACATCCCTGCCTTGTTCCTATTCTTAAGTGAAATCTCTTAGGGGAAATGGTTTTAGTTTTTGCCCATTGAGTATGATGTTTGCAGTATGTTTGTCATATATGGCCTTTATCATGTTGCGATATGCTCCCTCTATTCCCACTTTGCTGAGAATTTTTACCAAAAATGGGTGTTGGATTTTGTCGAATGCTTTTTTTCCCCTGCATCTATTGATATGATCATGTGGTTTTTATCTTTTATTTTGTTTATATGATGCATTACATTTATTGATTTGAAGATATTTTACCAGCCTTGCATCCCTGAAATAAATCCCACTTAATCATGGTGTATGATCTTTTTAATATATTGCTGGATCCGATTTGCTAATATTTTCTTGAGGATTTTAGCATCTATGTTCATCAGGGATATTGGCCTGTAATTCTCTTTCTTTGTAGTGTCTTTATCTGGTTTTGGAATTAGGATAATGCTGGCCTCATAAAAAGCATTTGGAAGTGTTCCTTCCTCTTGGATTTTCTGAAATAGTTTGAGGAATATAGGTGTTAGTTCTTGAATATTTGAATAGTTGAATGTTTGGAAAAACTCCCCTGTGAAGCTGTCTGAACCTGGGCTTTTGTTTAGTGGGACTTTTTTGATTACTGCTTCTATTTTATCAGTTCTTATTGGCCTATTCAGGTTTTTTTATTCTTCCTGATTCAGTTTTGGGAGATTGTATTTTTCTAGAAATTTGTCTATTTCATCCACATTGTCCACCTTGTTGGCATATAGTTGTTCATAGTATTTTCTTACAATCCTTTGTATTTCTGTGGTGTAAGTGGTTACGTCTCTACTTTCATTTCTGATTTTATTTATTTGGGTCCTCTCTCTCTTTGTTTCTTGATGAGTCTGGCTAATAATTTATCAATTTTGTTTATCCTTTCAAAGAACCAGCTCTTGGTTTCATATATATATATATATATTCTCTATGTTATTTATTTCTGATCTAATCTTTTTTATTTCTTTCCTTCTGCTTACTCTGGGCTTTTCTTGTTGTTCTTAATCTAGTTCTTTAAGTTGTAGGGTTAAATAGTTTATTGCTGATTTTTCTTGCTTTTTGAGGTATGCATGTAGTGCTATGAACTTCACTCTCAGGACAGCTTTTGCTGTGTCCCAGAGATTTTGGGTTGTGTGTTCATTTTCATTTGTCTCCAAGAAATTTTTGACTTCTTTCTTGATCTTGTTGGTAACTCATTCATTGTTTAATAGCATGCTTACTTAGCCTCCATGCATTTGAATGTTTTGAGGCATTTTTACTGTAGTTGATTTCTAATTTCATTCCACTGTGGTCTGAGAAGATATTTGATATGATTTAAATCTTCTGGAACTTGCAGAGACTTGTTTTGTGTCCTAACATGTGGTCTATCTTTGTGAATTATATCCATGTGCATTTAAGAGGAATGTATATTCTGCTGCATTGGGTGAAATCCTATATAATAAAGACATAATATGCAAATCAACCGAACAGCAGATTGACCAGTTGGCAGGGGGTGGGGCCAATGAACAGGTGGAGCCAGGCCAGTCAAGGCACATACCAGCAGGCAGAGGGAGGGGACGGTGATGGGGGCAGGGCGCACCGTCAGT